TTCCCGTCTATTTTCTTTCTGCGGCTAATGCAGGTGATGGGGACGGAGAACATTTTCATGTTTCGCATACATGTGCAGCTCAGAGTGGCCGATCGTATGTCAAAGAAAGAGGATGACACAAGGCCTTTAACAGTGTCTCACGTAAAAACGTTCAGGACTCTCACTCTCTGAATAATGCCCCATTTAAGGGATGATTCCTTCTGCTATTTTGACTTATTTGCATGTGTTTCTGTAAAGGCCTAAGCTTAGAGCTCCAGCAGCCTTCTCTCAGTTCATTTAAAAGGTTTTCCATGAATTAAAACCAACAGAGGCATTTCACACGTTGGTTATACCTGATTATACCCACTTTAACATCTGTTGAGGGGCTGCTCCGTCTGCCTCTCCATATGGTCTGAACGGGGCGATCGGTAGCACGACATCGCTGCAGGGTAGCATAATCCGGGCTGCGGTGCATGAATGTGGACGGTGTTTTGTGCATGACTCAATGTTGCCTGAAGACACATTTCACTGTACTAATCCTCACTAAAGGTCAGGACTCTTTGCGAGGGGCTTTGCTTTGTGTTTGACTGCTCCGTTCGGTTAGCAGTGGATGAAAATGTAAAACAAGACAGGGCGCATCCGGCTCTCATCTCTCGCCCTTGTCGTGCTCTTTCTCACTTCCAGCCGGATGCGTGTTTGGAGGGGAGTTCCAGCTGAGCTGAGCACAAGCTGGAATTGGCTGGGGGATGGCGGGAGCTTCGGCTAAGCCTCAGCTTCAACCCGTGGAGGTTTTTCTTGAGCTCTAAAGCCGCTGCCGTGGATGTGGAGCCTGAACCCCAATTCCAGGTGCTTAGCTCTGCTGGCATACTTTTTTTTTTTTTTAAGTATTTCAGGTCCTTCGAGGAAATTTTAGAGATTCAATAGCTTTTTTTTCAAGCCTCTCTTCACCGACTGTCTAAACGGTGGGGATTTCTGGAAAATGGAATTAATACATGTAATCCAAATTTACATGATTGGAATAAAACAACACTGTGCCCTCGCAGGAAAACACCCACCCTAAAGAGGCATGTCAGACACATCTGCATGCGCTAGAGTCCTGATTTTGCACGGCATACATTTTAATTGGACGGGGAATCTAAATTCAAGGCCCGTGGCCCTCAGCCTCATGAAACAAGACATCAAATATTTCCCCACAGTCACAGAGAGCAGCAAGCTGAGGGTGTGGACCACAGGCAGACATCCCTGGTCCACATCCAGCATGCATAAACTGATCTGTGAGCGTGTGTCGGTGTGTGTGCGAGTGTGTGAAGTGACCAATGCGGTCAGTCAGCTGATGTCACTGCTGTGAACCTGCCCTCAGCCATATGATGTGACTTTGAGAGTGTCCCTCGTTGTCTGAGTCAAAGATTTGGTCTCACATTTAGCCGCTCTTCGTAAAATCTGACTTTGACCTGGATTCCTTTGTGCTCCAAAATAAAAACACCAAATTGGTTTCTGCCCCCAAAAACCAAATAATGTTTAACTGGCAGACATGTGATGGATTACAAAAGACTTATGCATAAACCATGATGACATTTAGGAGGTGGAGCTTTCTAAAACTTAGCCATGGCTGTGGTCAGACTAGCCGTTAGCATGTCAGTCTTGTTGGGTAATAATGACTTTTTAAAAAATTGATGGTATTCAGGAAACTATTTGAACGTTTTTATTCATTTTTACACAAAGACTCATTTCATAAAAGAAAAAAATATATATTTGAAGACTTTGACTTGCAGGTCAACCACTTAGAGCACATTCTAGACCGGTGAACCTCAACTGGCGGCCCACAAGCCACATCTGGCCCCCCAACCCTTTGGGGCCCTAAAGCCCCTCAATTAGGGGAGTTTAGCAGCAAAATTCATGCCCCAAATATTAAAACTTGTTTATGTTCTCCAAACACAACTAAACCTTCACTCAAAACAGTTTAGATAGGAAACAATGACATTTTAAATATTATTACATTAAGATACAATAACTTTAGTTTAAAAGAACATCTGGCCCTTACAGCGCCTGCTGGAAAAATCAGGCCCTTGAACAAATACAGTTGAGGACCCCTGCTCTAGATCATAAATATTACCGATGCTGGAAAAAGAACAAGCAAAATAAAAAAAATATAAACATTATTTACATGTTTGAATAGAAAGTTATACATCAGAACTTGCCTAGGTAAAACATTATTATTATTATTATCATTATTATTATTATTATTATTATTACACACATTTCAGAATAAAAACATAACACCAAATGTATAGTTTATTTATTTATTTTCACGGCTGTTGCTCTGCCTCTTGAACAGGATTAGTACATTCCAATAAAAAACACAGCAAAAAAAATCTATGCACGCCCTTATGTGGATAAACAAGGTACTGCATGTGACTATTTAATTTACTGTAGTATTGCATAATTATTGATAATTACATAATTGCTATAACAAAGATAGCCAAAAACTACTTCGTTTTATTTTGATTTTCTTTTTTTAATTGATAATTTCTTTTAAAATAAAGTAGATTTAATCCACAGCACGCTTCCCTGGTGAGGTTTTCCAGGCACGCCCAACCAGGAGAAGATCTAAAGGAAGACCCAGGACACACTGGAGACTGTCTCAGCTGGCATGGAAACACCTTAAGATTCCCCCAGAGGAGCTGGCCCAAGTGGCTGGGGACATGCAAGTCTGGGACTCTCTGCTTAGTCTGCTGGTCCCGCGACCCGACCCTGGATAAGCGGCCAAAAAATGGATGGCCAAAAATTAAATGAGTGAATAAATAAATTGAATTTATTGTTCATGTTTTATAACATTTTCCATTACATGTTTATAATAAATGAAAAAAACAACATTTGATCACAATTATCAGTCAAGTCGTCCAGAGACGAAGCTCCCTGAAAAAGTTCATAAAGGGGGTCCGTGCACCACAAAATGCAGGGTGGTTCTTTTAAATCTTATTTGTTCCAGTTGCAGGAAATACATCGTCTCTCTCTGATCCATCAGGCGACGCTTGGTGGAGAGTGATGCTTCCAAGTGAGCAGAATAACCCTTCGGGCAATTAGGGTGATAAGAGCCGTGGCGCCACATGCCTTACTGGGTAAAGGGCAGGGGGTGGAGTAATACCAAACATAGGGGATTGAGACAAATGTTCTTACCGTAGATTTTTGTGTATGTTTCAAAAATGTCTATCCAAAAAGTATAGAGTGCAGGACATGACCAGAACATACGTGATCTGCTGTTTGCCCCTTACAGCGAGGGCAAGAGGAATCTACATTGGAGAACACACTGCCTGGCTAAGAAAAGGTCACATAAATGGTTTCGCTGGATCGTCTTTAGCTTTGATTACAGCGCACATTCGCTGTGGCGTTGTTCCGACAAGCTCCTGCAATGTCATCAGAGTTATTTCCTTCCATGTTGCATTAAAGTTTCACAAAGATCTTGCATTGATGATGGTAGAGTCGGACCGCTGCGCAAAGCCTTCTCCAACACATCCCAAAGATTCTCAATGGGGTTAAGGTCTGGACTCTGTGGTGGCCGATCCATGTGTGAAAATTATGTCTCATGCTCCCTGAAACACTCTTTCACTATTTGAGCCCAATGAATCCTGGCATTGTCATCTTGGAATATGCCCGTGCCATCAGGGAAGAAGGAATAACCTGGTCATTCAGTATATTTAGGTAGTCAGCTGACCTCATTCTTGGAGCACATCCTGTTGCTGAACCTAGACCTGACCACCTGCAGCAACCCCAGATCATAACACTGCCCCCACAGGTACTAGGCATGATGGCTGAATCATTTCATCTGCCTCTCTTCTTACCCTGATGCACCATCACTCTGGAACAGGGTCCATCTGGACTCATCAGACCAGTTTTTAATAATTGGACAGTTTTCAACCCTATATTAGACATTTCTGCAATCTCCTTAGATGTTTTCTCTGATTGATGCATGCCAATGATCTGACCCTTCTCTAACATACCACCAGATGTGTCTTTCCAGGTGGTTGTTTAAGAAATAAGAAGCAACTCATTGCATCAGTTGGGGTTTAATAGCTTGTTGATAATCGCCCACGCAGTAGTTATCCAATAGGAGGCTCCTACCCATTTGCTCAGTTAAATCAGGCGACTTTATTTGGCCAGGCGGTGTACATCTAAAAAATACATCTAAGGAGGCTGCCGGGAAATGATGATCACCCCAAATGTAAATGTAAAGAGGTGTACTTTAGGTCAAAATACTCCTTAAACTGCATCTAAACTACATCTTAAGAGTTTGTTTAACAATTAGGTTAGTCTGTACAGCAATGTTAGAGCACAACACATGTGCCTAGATGCAAGCCACTGGTAGGGTTCAGCAGATACCCATGAATCACAGTTATCATTATCGAAATGAACCCACTGAAGGATTTTTATGTTACAGCCCAGTGATCATAATAAAGTTCAGAAGCACCAATCCTGCTTTATTCTTTGGTCTCAGCAGAGCAGCTTTGTAATTCTATGTTGGCCACAGTTACAAATAAAGATACCTATTCAAGTCATGTAATTTAAAGAGTTTTTAATGAAAATTTGATTATTTTGAAAAAGATAAGCAAATTTAAGCAATAAAGTCATCTTGATAATGAGACTTGCAACCGACAATTTCCATTCAATTTTCTGACCGTTGTTCAATGTATCATGCATTAGCCATCCTTGAGAATGGGTTTATGTCAGTGAGTTTTGACTAGGTTAAATGGAGGATTAGTAAATTAATTAGATTTGTTTTGAATGGGAAATTATAAAAAGATGAGACAAAGTTCAACTTTTAAAATAATGTTTTGAACCTTTTATTTAATATGGTACTGCTGCTCTTTTAAAATAAAATAATTTACAGTAGATTTCGGTTAAACTTCGTCATAAACCTTGTATTCTCCATACCAATCCGCCTCATTAGCAGTTTTATTTTGAAGGTCCGTTTTCCGGTCTGAAACATCTGGACTCAGCTGTGCACGCGCCGCCCTCCCCGGTCGTCGCGCGCCCCCTCCCCGGGTCCCTTCCGCTGCCCAGGGGGCTTCAAGACGCCGATTAGAGCAGCTGGAGCGACTTGCGGCTCACTTTCTGAACTTGGTTCCCGTCCTCCTGGTTCCTCCCCGCTGCTAGCCGCCACCATTCCCCCCCAGCGCGGCTCCGCGGGGTTTCTGGCGTCCTTTGGTCCCCGAACGGCGCGGAGGAAGTGGTCCGTGGTCGTCGCGGTGACTGCCGTCGCAATGGTCCTGCTGGCTCTGACAGTCGCCGTCCCGTTACTCCTCCTCCGCTCCTCCGACACCTCCGCTCACTACTACGAGATGATGGGCACCTGCCGGATGGTCTGCGAGCCCTACGGACCCAAACCGGGAGGCGCCACCGCCATGGAGGTGACCCAGAACGGGGTCGCTCCGCCGCTGCCGCCGATGGCGCAGGGGAGCCGCGGGGAGCCGGGGCGACCCGGGAAGCCCGGACCCAGGGGTCCACCGGGAGAGCCCGGACCCCCGGGTCCGAGGGGGCCACCGGGAGAGCGCGTGGACAGCAAAGTGGGATTCCCCGCTGTAACGGGAGCTGCCTCAGGGGGAGACACCGGTGAGGCGGACGGAGCCAACTCCACGGCGAGCTTGTACCGGATCGCCTTCTACGTGGGTCTGAAGAACCCGCACGAGGGCTACGAGGTGCTGAAGTTTGACGATGTGATCACAAACTTGGGGAACCACTACGACGCGAGCACCGGGAAGTTCACCTGCCATGTGTCCGGGATCTACTTCTTCACCTACCACGTGCTGATGCGCGGCGGGGACGGGACCAGCATGTGGGCAGACCTGTGCAAGAACGGACAGGTATTCCGAACCGTTCACCTAGGGGTCATCACAGCAGGTTGTTGCGATTAATCGACTAAAATAGCTTTAATATAAAATAAGTCAAATATAAATCTGATCAAAGTAGAAAACAAAGCTTAACTGGATCTGGATGCACCCTAAAAACTGATGGGTTGTTTAAAAAACCCAACTCCTGGGTTGAGTTTAGTCAAATATTGAGGTCAAATATTTTATATTTTATTTATATCCATGAAGCAGAGTTTTAACCACGATGTGGCTGATTTTAATTGAACATTAATTTTACACTTTAACACATTAATTTTAAAGGTAATTAATAGCGGTTGCAATTGTTTACACTGTTAAAAAGTATTGTAAAGATGAGCTGTAATACATTTTTATTAATCCACAAATTAATTCAGTTTTGACTGAGATGAAAGAAGCTTTTATAAACCAAGACACACGTGCTATATCTTTTTTATTTTTTTAATATAAAAATGTAAAATAATTTTACATAATATTTTATAAAGTGATTTTTTTAATGAACTAATAAGCATTAATGATGACCTGCAGTGCTTCGATTTAACACTTGGTGTTTAGTACAACAGGGTTCTTGAGGAGCGTACCATTTCTGCTACAGAGGTGGAGCTCTTTTAGTTAAGACAGTCATAGCTTTATGTGGCTAAAACTGTGTTAATAAATCCTGGACCTGTACGAGTAACCCAGCCTGTTTGGGTCGGTCCCACTTTGGCCCGGTGTTGATTGTTAAAACGATTTAAATTGGTTTTATTTTAACTCGGCAGTTCTTAGTGTGATTGGATTAATTCATAATTCAGCTGTCTTTAAATACTTCCTGTTTCATTTTTGCTAAAGGGTTTAAAACGACAGTCCAATTATTTCATGCACCACTGTTGTTTCACTCTGCCTCTCGGGTACGAGTGAACTTTTGTCTCCGTGTTTGTCGCCGGGACACTTGTTCCCTCTCGCTATTGTTGTGATTTTATTTTTTGAAACCAGGTCCGGGCCAGCGCCATAGCTCAGGACGCCGACCAGAACTACGACTATGCCAGCAACAGCGCAGTGCTGCACTTGGACTCGGGAGACGAGGTCTACGTCAAACTGGATGGAGGCAAAGCTCATGGAGGCAATAACAACAAGTACAGCACCTTCTCTGGTTTTATCCTTTACCCTGACTAAAACCCGCAGCAGCAGGTGCTTGGACTGAAACCTGTAACACCCTTCTCTTCGTTTGCACACTCGTGTCACGTTTACAGATTCATCAGCGACTTTATGCTGTGATTTAACTAAATCACCTTTTGTATATAACTTGTATTTATTTTTTATTTTAAGTTCAACCGGAGGTTAATGTCGTCTGTTATTGTGACGGATGTTTCAGAGGAAATTCACCTTCCAGGTGAAGTACGGCACCCCAAAGATGCCCTGAGAGAAAATGTTACTGGAGCACTTCGTCATGAAAGTCACTGGAGGAGAATAATACCAGGCCTGAAAAATTATTGGTCGTTTTGCTGGCAGACATTTATGAAGCGCTGTGTGTAATAACAGCCATATTTCAAAGCAAATGCAACAATAGTTAGGAGTAAACAGAATTTCTGACACACAGTTCTGAGAGTACAGGATATTTGGCATTGTTCACTACTTAAATATAAGAAAAAATTTAAATTTTTACGTGATTTTCTCCCCAAATTGAACTCTTTATATATATATATATATATATATATATATCAAGAAAATTGGCAAATTTCCACTTGTAGTATTTAAATTCACCACATGATGGCAGAATACCTGTATAGAATATGCAATGTTGATTTTTTTTAAAGTGATAGTGTATATTTTCCTGGCAATAGGAGGCAGTCGATAACTACATTTTTGCAAGCAAGCTGTATTTTTGTGTTGCAGTAAGACATTACCAACAAATGCCCATTAGGGTCAAAAAGCCCCGGGGAGTTCAAACTTCAGCAACGAGTGAAGAGGTAAACATGTAAAACAACAACATTTATGAATGGTGAAAGTTTTGTAATCGTTTTTTATTAATCAGTGAATGCATTTTGCCCTCACGGGGTTCCCGTAGAAGGAAACACGGCATCAAATATGGCGTCACCCAGGGACTTAGACCCACTTCAATGTATTTTAGACCAGATTTTTATGGTTATATGTTACGAAGCCGCCAATATTTTTCAACAACTGGGCATCATTTTATTCATTTTCAACAACATTTTGATGGATATTTCCAGAGAATAACAATAAAAACTACACATTGTCCCTTTAAAGAACATACTAATCCTGTCAAAGATGTAAAGGTCTTTACAGCTTAGAAGTAATCACATTAAGTGAGTGAATTAAGGGTTAATTTGAATGAGATTGATGCAATCTGGTTGCCCATTGAAAAAGATTCAATCTGAGAAGAAGAAACAAAATATTTTACTGCACTGCCAGCTAAGCAATTTGTTAGGATAAATCCTGAAAGTGCTACAATTGTTGTTGACATCCATAAAATGCAATTTTAACCTTTTCTGATATTTAAAGTAAATGATTTCAGTAGACACGACTAAATTTAAAGGTAAATATTTACTTTTTTTGTAAACAACTGTTTTTGTCAGTGACAAGACTTGCAGCCAACTAGCTGTTAGCCCACTCATGGCCAATGGTAATTGCTTTGTATTTAGATAGCACATTCTAGAGTCCTAGAACCCCCAAGGCACTTTACAACACAAAACTCATTCCGAACACTCTGACCACCACCAACAGGCGGAGAGTGTAAATGATGGAGGAAAAAAGAGGAAATATCCTGATAAGTCAGAATGCCAAGAAAAAGGTTGTCAGTGTTTTGACTACTTCCACGACAGCATTCACAGATGAACCCAGAACATTCTTTAATCCTTCACAATAAGTCTCTCAAACATCTAAAATAAAACAATCTGAAATATAAAACTATTTTGAGCTAGCCTAGAGATCTAGACAAACCGTAGCAGTAAGAAAATATTTTCTCTACAGGTCGGTCTCGCCATGCTCCATAGTAGCCTCAGTTGGTCTACCATTGGCTAGAAAGGTTTTAGGTTGGGCCAGCTCTCAACGTTTGTAGAGAGACATTAGGCGAGCTTATTACCAGAGCTGTGAGGGAGAAAAACTTCAAAGACACATTAATAAGGTGGTAGCAGGTTGGAATGAGCAGAGAATAGGGTTTCATAATATGGCCTGGCCCCTCCTAGACAAGTCATAACATGAATTGGGGGCTCGCCTGGGATCTGAACCCAGGACCTCTTGCACCCAAAGCAAAAATAAAACTTCTATGGCAAAGACGTCTGAAACGTCATCTTTGGATGATTTAGACTTGGGCTTTTTTTGAGACATGAGCAGATAGAGGTACTTAAGTCCTTTATTTAAAAAAAAGGATGCATTTGATTCTTTAACCATGTATTTGACTGAATTCTGTAGTGTTGAAGAAGGTTGTCCATTGCTCTGATTGGTTCTAGCGCTATTCCAAAGCATACAAAGACAGTTTGAAAGTTGCCCATAGATTCAGCCCCACGACTTAGTTCTGTCTATGCATCGTGGCAAGACTATATTTACATGATTCACTGGCTTGCCAGGCTAAGTTTAGGCTTCACCAGAGTACATTAATTAAAAACAGAAAATAGTATTTCACCTTTTTTTCTCAGTATGGTATTTGGACTTTTTTTCCTCATTATTTCCTGTTAAAGCTACAATGTCAAATCTTTAAAGACGTTAGCTTAAAACACATTTTCATGCCTCTTAACAATGTTCTATAGCTATAAATGTATTGTGGTGATACAAAATTGAATAAAGTGGGTCTCTCTCATTTGTCTAAGAACCTTAGCCAATAACACATCTCAGACCGAAACCAACTACTGGACCATGCAGTTGTCGAACCGCTGACTTCCCTGGGTCCTCCATTCATTACACACTTGTGTATTTATCAACAGATCACCACTGGTGGGGGAGGTTCTCCACTCATTAATGTCAGAGAAGGAGAAACAGCCGGCTACAACCACTTAAATTTTAGGACAAACTACCAGAGTCCCTAAAAGAAAACCACCATTTGAAGACACGGACAACAAAATATGTTTAGACCTAGAAAACAATAACGTATTTAGCGCCATTTCATTTTCTGTGGCAATGCAGGTTTCTAGTATCATGCAAACGTGTTTTAGGTATGAAAACCGACGGGAAGGGTGAGAGTTCCGTCATCGCGTTTTAGGTTTAAAAGCTAGCTTGTTTAGCAGATTTGCTATTGCAGCTTTAAATATTGACACTCATGAAAAGGCTTTAATTTTAACGGTTTAAGTTTGTTATTGTTATTACATTAAAAAATTATACCACTTGTGTTCAAAATACCAGACAACACTGATGTGCATGCATGTTAGCGGTTAGCTCTAAGGCTAGCATAGCTAAGCTGCCAGAGTTTACCACCTGGCTTTGTTGTTGAAAGGTCAATTGAAGTTTTAGGGAACGGCTACAAAACCAAACAAATTCTCAAGAAGAGGGTGAGATGTGGTCTGCTGCTGTTACGTCTTGTACAATTTATGTTTAGTTTTCTAGTCATGCTAGCAAGCGAAAATAGGACAAAGTTCCATCCATTTTAAGTCCACCCAAAAGAAACTGAAAGACGCAAATAAAGATAACTAAAACATTTATATTCCACATTTAAAGTCTTTGAACTGTTTTGTTTCAGCGTAAAATCTAAGATCTAACATGAAATATTTGCTAAAAAAAACTGCTTAGAAAATATGTTTCAAGTGTATAAAAATCCACAATTATGAGTAAAATATTTAAAAATATCACAGCTCTAAGTAAAAAATTCCAATATATGACAAAAAAGATTTTCTGCATTTTAATTCTAATCAGGAAGATGGGAGAAGCTCTAAATGGTTTGTTATAGCATGCTGCTTTGTGTTTTGGTCAGTGTTTCACCCAACTACACTGAATCTGTTGTTATATTCTGTTTTTAATTTTGTTTGCCTATATGCTAATAAATATTGTTTAAAAGATTGCTTTGAGGTAATTTGGTGTTTTCTGAATATGTTTTTCCTGATTGAGTCTCTGCAGGTGTCACTTCTGGTTCCAGACATCCAATAGATTACATAAATGCTCTATTAATAATAATAATAATAATAATGATAATAACAATAATAAAAATAATAAAAAACATTACAGGTCATCTTGTTTGAACACATCCATGTGCAGTTAGTCATTTTCATATTTATGACCATTTATCATCAGTGGTCTTTTATTTTGAAAGGCTACAGGGTAAACCTAAAAAGGAAGCGTAAAAAAGTAGCTTAAATTCACCGTAAACATTCAGAAGTATTAAACGAAATGAACGCTGCTGTATTTCACACCCCATTAGCTTGTGTTTATGTTTGCTAAAATTTCTCCACCAGGCTCCAAATACGTCTGTAAGCCCTCAATACGAGGATGGCTGTTTGTGTGTGTTTTGGATTTTCCTTTTTTAATGCCAATCTCCTCTGGGATGCACACAAACCAGCTGTTTACACACCACTCCCGCCACTTTAAATGGAGTTTGTGAGGAAACAAATATTAGCACATCTGCTTAGCTAAACCTCTATTAAGATGTTTGGCTGCTGGCCACTTTTCCCGTGGCCAGCAGCCAAACCTGGCCCTTATTTGGGGGTGGGGGTCGTGTTACGGACAAACAGCACCAGGCTCTTGTTTATTATTGACAAATTCATGATCCTGTTTTAGGTTTGGGGAAATAAGATGTTTGCTTGTTTGATGGATTTTGTTATTTTTGGTTGGAATTTAACTGGGTTGGGCTGGGTGATATGGAAAAAAAATCCTATCACAATATTAGTTTTCATACCGCTCGATATCATTATACAGTGGGGCAAAAGTATTTAGTCAGTCTCCAATTGTGTACGTTTAGTCGCTTAAAAAGATGAGGCGTGTAAATTTCATTATTGGTAAACCTCAACTATGAGACAAAATGAGAAAATCCAGAAAATCACATTGTCTGATTTTTTAATAATTCATTTGTAAATGATGGTGGAAAAGACGTATTTAGACAAAAATCCATCTCAACACTTTGTTATATGCCCTTTGTTGGCAGTGACAGAAATCAAACATTTTCTGTAAGTCTTCACAAGGTTTTCATACACTGTTGCTGGTATTTTGGCCCATTGCTCCATGCAGATGCTAGAATTGGGACAAATGTTATGTAACACGTAGATTTAAATGTAACTGTAGACTGAAATGTGTGTTTTGTGAGTTGTGATTTGAAACTTGTACGTTGATCATTTTTTCTGCAAGTGACACAATGAAAGTCACATGTTACAAAACGAGAATTTCTTGCTTCAAAATGAAAGTTAATTACAAAACATGTTACAAGTTACATGTAAAACTCTCCCATTCTCCGCTCCATAAAGGTAGATTATCAGTGGTGTTGTATGTCTTCTACTTTCTAATAATTGCTCCACAGTTGATTTTTTTTTTCACACCAAGCTGCTGAATTATTTCACATTTAGTCTCTCAGCCTGGTGCAGGTCTACTATTTTGTTTCTGGTGTCCTTTGGTCATAGTGGTGTTTGGAGTGTGACTGAGGTTGTGGACAGGTGTCTTTTATACTGATAACACGTTCCAACAGGTGCCATTAATACAGGTAATGAGTGGAGGACAGAGGAGCCTCTTACAGAAGAAGTCACAGGTGTGTGAAAGCCAGAATTTTTGCTTGTCTGTAGCAGATTAAATACGCATTTTCCACCAATTTAATTTGCAAATATAAAAAAAAAAAATCAGACAATGTGATTTCTGGATTTTATTTCTCATTTTGTCTCTCATAGTTGACATGATGAAAATTACAGGCCTCTCTCATCTTTTTAAGTGGGAGAACAATTGGTGGCTGACTAAATCCCCCCCCCCCCCCCACCCCACCCCCCCCTGGCAATATATCACAATATATAGCAAACTGCTAATTTTGTCAATTTTTAATGTGCTGTGGTATTTTAAATTGACATTTATTTCAGGTTATTCTTTTTATTTTAAAGTTGTTGTTTTTTCAAAAGCTGAACATGTCTTCAAACATTACATCACTGTTTGGGATAAAAATATTTATTTTAAACTAAAATTTTCAAGAATTAGAGGAGACAAAAAATAAAATCACACAATGTCTGCTTGTTTTAAATATAGAGTCCTTACAAAACACAGTAACAAATGAATAAAAGACAAAAAGCAAGCAATGTTTTATATCAGTGAAAATGTAAGCAGCTTTAAAAGAAAAACATCCAGCAAAATAGACATCAACGGCTGAACCGTACTCAGGAAAAAAGCTTTACCTGTTGCTACAGTTTAAAAAATTACCTGACATAAAACTAGGTCTAGTTTGTCCTTTAGACAACAGAATAAAAAATAAATACATATTACTTGTATATTTGGTTCACTTTGATCTAAACTGATAAAATATCAGCATTTTTTTCCCTTTACATCAAAACAGCTACACTGCTTTTATTTTGATAGTGGGTGAAACAATTAGCATTTTGAGGCATTGTGAAGAGTGAAAAAAATACACAGCAATTTTTACTGGTTACACAATGATTTACAATAACAGACAACTTTATATTTCTTTAACTGTATTTAAAACTATACAGTTATGCTTTCTCCTCTGCCGTTCGCAGTATAACGCTTTGCGATTGAATGCATTATGGGAAACGTTGCTGTCCCAAATCTGCAGAAGGATGCTTCCTTGATACAATGGGCGGAGCAAGAACACATCCGGGAACTTTGAGTGAACTTACCGTGATACGTACTTAGGATTGGAATAGAACTTGGGCCAGCATTGTTGACATTTCACAAGGACGTGCATACACCAGTACGTATATTGAGAAATAACCATTGTCTATTCTCAGAAACAACAGAAATTTAAACTCTGAGCAGTTTCTTGCTCCTCCGCCCTATTCGTTGGAAGTAGAACAACAAGTGGCCTAAACAACCCTGTTGTAGCTTTTTTTTTTCTCGTGTCCAGCTGCAAAGCAATCAGAACTGATGTCTGAGTGCTGAAGACAAGCCTTTCAGTTTTACCCCCACAGGTGCCTCGCCTGTTACCAATACTATATTAGAAAAATTTTTGGTTGTTTTAAATCCCAACAGACACTGAGACAGAGATGAAAGAGAAAGAGGGGAGAACAAAGGAAGAGGTGGGGGAAGAGAAAAAAAAGTACACAACAATAAAGGATGTAGGAGAATCCGCTTCTAGACCTGCAGAAAAAGAAGAAAATAAAGGGGACACACAAAAAATACAACACATCCAAAACATCACTGCGCCATCCGCCTGAGGATATATAACAGTAACAATTTTTGCTGAAAGAGCACACGGTAATAATTCATAGTGTATTTAGTGCCAACCACAGCCTTTGGTTAAATTGCCAAAGGATTATCAGTCATTAATAAAGTTTTATAAATCCTAAGCCTAGTATCAATAATTCCAGTGATTTTATTTGATATTCTAAACAGTTTGGTTTCAGTTTCGTACTTTTTTGGGTCTTTTAACTGTCCAGTATGGAGTTTAGTGACAACCATTGGTAGAAAAAAAGATTTCACACCCAAAGTAAAAAAAAAAGCGATGTCAAATTTCAGTCCAAAGAATAACCGAGTTCCTGGTGAAGATTTTGCTTAACTTGTTGCGGTGTGCCTTTTGTATTTCACGAACTCTAGGATATGGTTCTTGCATAAAAAGAGTTCAATCAACACAATATGTAGACTTCAGACAAATTTCAACATTTGAAAATAATTTAAATAAAAACAACCAACCAGGCAGTTAGCCATCAGATTTCAGTCCTGACCCTGAAAATACAAAAATAACTACAACGACAAAAACCAAAAAGAGAATGAGCTGCCAGTAACTAACTCACAAACCCAACTATCAAGTTATGATTCATAAAGAACGTGGAGCACAGCTGGTGTCAGCAGCAAAAAGGAAACCCTGTGGGGTGGAGTCCTCCCGGCCTGTTATCATCATGCCGACCTGTCGGCGACGTCACACCAGCTAGTCGTCTGTGGAATGAGAGGGAGGTCTGACACGAGGGCACACGGCAGCCCAACACCAGCCTTCCTCACAACTCCCAAAACAGAAGGAACTAGAACTAGTTAAGCAGTAATTCACCAAAGAAGACTGTAAGATCCTCCGGTGGAGGTTAAAGATGTCTGGGGTTTGACATTCCCTCTAAGTCATTTACTGAATTATCATAGAAGAGGAGGGTTTTATTATTAGCCCCTAAAAGATGATTCCTGTTCGTTGAGATTTAGGGACGTGGATGGAAGCGGTGATGTGAACCGGTGGAGGTCTTCTAAAGTGTTCAAAGATGGCCTCATACCGGCTCTGATGGCCCACGGCAGACACATTTAGGATGAAAAGTGGAGTTGCTGACACCAACTGAGACATCAGCAGTGGTACGTGTCACGGAGTGCCTGACTGATGCTCGCACTCACGTTTCCACTAACAGGATAGATGATCGAAACGCCGCTTCTCCCTCCGGTCAGGGTGGCAGAGAGCGATGGCTGACTGACAGGCAGTGTGGTGAAATTCTCTGATGGATGAGAGAAGTGGGCCAAGGCCTGTCGCGCGCACACGCACGCCTCGTTCAGGGGGATTGGGATTGACAAGCAGCTGAGCAACAGGCGTCATATCGGAGTAATGACAGCACGTGTCTTCGGGTACTGCAGCTGCTCGGCTCTGCCATGTTTAGAGAGGCTGTGCTGTTCTGGTTGCCATCTTTAATAATGATTCCTGTAATTAATCTTTGAGTCTAATCTTACAAAACAGCAACAGAAAAAAAAAAACACTAAACATTTGATTTTTTTTATTCCAGCCAAGCAAGCACGAAATGTAGGGTCTGACAAGATCTCTGCACGAGCAGCCAATCATCTGGGCATTTTTAAAACCATTGTTGGAGCTAAGAGAGAAAAGAACCACACCATCTCCTCGTTCTCTCACTCTGACGTCTTCTCCTCCGCCATGATTGATCCATGTTCACATCTCGA